TATGATGTTTCTCACCGCTAAATTCTATATTGCTCAAGATGATGGGAAAGACGGTTGATCTTTTCACTTTCTATAGCAGTCTTCCAGAAGAACTAGTCCTCCCATTAAATGGGGTGGGGGAGAGTTTCTGGTTTCTTTGTCTTGTGTCACTTTCTGCTGTCCTACCCATGGGACAAAGGCAGCAGAACCTAAGGCAGAGTTCACCACTGGCTTACTGAAATACGTAAATAGCTGTCTGAGACTGCTCCTTCGACTTTGGTGGCAAGACAGCCATGGGTTTGGGGAGCCTGAAGCTGAGCCTTTATTTTTGAAAATGGGGGAAAATATAGTTTCTTTCCTAACAGTGCTTTTTAGTTTTTAGGATATTACCTGCTCTTTTGACTATCCCTTCTGGGAAGATGACACTGCATTTTATATGGTGTTCATATGCATTTGAACTGATTTTGTTGTGTTAATTCTACTTAAAGTCAGGGTATATTTTACTTAGAAGTCGGTTTTCTCCATTTATCAGTTACAAAAAGCATTTCTAGCTAACAAAAAGTATGCTATAACATTAGTAAATAACATTTTTGTTTCTTGTACAGCTTTGCAGTAAAGGTACTTCTACAGAAAATCCCGTTACGGCATCTCTAGGAGACATTTCCGGTATTGTCAGTTTTATTGAGACAAGGCTTGCGACCTGCTACTTAAAAATGAAGAAGCCCAATGATGCTCTGAATCATTCACACAGGTAAAAATAAATATTGATTAGATACAGTGCTAAGACTGAAATCAAAAATTGAACAAAGACTATGAAAGAATTCTGTGCAGGAACAATAAGTCTAATAATGAGAAAAGAGGAATCAATAAAACACAACTTACACATGGCACTGATATTTAGATTGAACTAATTCTCAAAATTTGAGACATTAAGCCACGATAGCCATGTATGCATTCACTGCTTTGATAATGCAGTAGGTAAGGATACGCAGGTGAGTCACATGCATAGTTCAGGGCACCCTTAAGAAGCTAGGCAAATACAAACATGCTCAGCCTTATATGACAGTAATGATATTACAAGCTCTTGTTCTTTTTCAAGCCAGATTAGGTCAGGGATGGCTTCAAATTATTTTCATCACGTCATTCCTCATGGGCTCACTTGTGATCCACATCGAAGATCAGCACCACCAGCAAAGCATAAATAAGCCAGAAACAAAACTTGCACATGGTGGAGATGAAACTCCCATTAGTTTCAGATGAGTTAGGATTTTGCTAGGTTTGTGCTGCCTTTAATTACCATTCAGGCACAGAGATAGTTTCTGTTAAGCAAGTCCATGTCCTGCCAGCAACACTTCGTTAGTGAGGTCTCCGTTCATTTTTTTTTCCCTTGTATGAGATGTATTAGGATGGACACTGCAATTAGTGCAAGGTGGGGAATTTTTTCATAGAATCATCTCAAATGTAACTACAGAAGAGTAGTAACAAGAAAAGAGGAGGCACCTGCTTGTGCCACACCAGACAGTGGTGAGGAATAATGCACTAGTACAGAAATATGATGTCATCATGGCAGCAGGTTTATTAGCTACACACAAAGTCACGGCAAGTCCGAGAATCCTGACTTAATGACAAGGTCTTTGCCTCCCATCTCCACTCATCCCCACCCCTTTCCCAAGTGCTTTTTGTCTGTAAAGCTATGCCTACCTGGAGCCTATCCACCTTGTGGGAGTGCACCCTTCAGACTAGTTCCAAGTGCCATCTGGGCTGGGGGCCTGACTGCCCATGAGTGGTTAGAGTAGAGCAGGTGCTTTCCCAGGGCACATCTAACAGGCGCACAGACTGTATTCCTTTCAGGCACAGTGTTCTGCTAGGTGAGCCAAAGCATAGGAAGTGGGAAAGACCGAGATTCCTGTTAAAAATGAAAGTAAATACATTTAAAAAAAAAAAAAAAAAAAAAAAACACACCACCACCGAAAAATGTACACCTCATGCAAACCGGTTTTTCATGGCTTCTCAAAGATCATGTTAGGAATGAAAAAAAATATGTAAATTTTGACTGGACTCCCAGCTTTTGGAAAAATGGTAATGATCGCTCTCTGTGATTTCCAAGGACACTAAAATAAGGAAGATATTTGAACAGTATAAATGTAACTAGAACAGGAAATACTTTTCTTTACCTCCTTTAAATTATCTTGATTTCAAAATAGTAAAATGTATTGACACTAGTGTCACAGAAACTGAAGCCTATTCAGACATGCTTTGGTTTCAATTGTCTTAATCCGGAAACCATGACCTACAGAAACCCATGACCTACAGAGAAAATAAATGGAGGTAGATTGAGATCACAGGAAAACTGAAGTAGGGAAAAAATCTTCACTCTTCATTCTTATGTATAACAATTTATTCTTAACTCCATTAGTTATGTTGCACAAAGAAAAGTGGCAGTCTAAAGCCAATTTTCAATACAATTAATTTATTAACTTGCAGAATGGGAATAAATCTACTGACCATGGTCGTCACATTGTAAAATGCAAGAATTGATACAATAGTATACCAGTAAAATATTCTAAGGCATAATTAACATAAAGACAAAACCTGAAATATAATCAGTAGCTACATTTTTCAAAAAGAACAAATAAATTACTCTGAGCTGTCCTACTAAAAATAGCTTACTGCCATCAGTTAAGTAGTGCATATAGAATTTTTATTCCCATTGAGTTTTTATGTCATCACCACATTGTAATGGTTTGCTGGTAATCCTTTGGCATTAATCATGAATCCAAATTAAAATATTCATTTCTGCATTTATTTGCATTTACTGAACTATTCTTTCTTTAATTTCATGTAAATTTCACAGCTCCTGCATTCATTTCTGAAACCTTATTAGCTAAAAAATCAGCTTTAATATTCTCACACATAGTTGTATCCAATATATAGAAGTGGGCTTCGCTAGGAAGAAATCTTACAAAATATCACAACTAGAGAAACAGAGAAAATAATAGAGAAAAATTCCAGCAGCTCGGTTTTAAAATGTTCAAAAACAGGCGTCTGCAGGGGAATAGCTTTCCCATTCTTAAGAAAGGAAAGTGAGTACAATTTATATCTTATATCATCAGCTTTAGATCCTGTATGAGAAGTCAAGTCTGGGTCCTCCTGAAAAGTGGAAATTGTATTCTCTGGCTTCTTAATATCAAAATTTAAGGCTGCCTTTAGCGTCACTGGCACAATTGAGGACACTGCCTAGGTTCTTATCATTTGTCAGGCTGATACGAAAGACTCACCCTTTGCAATCAAACACTATTAAAACCACTTCTCATCCGTCACAGCTCTGAACAAACGCGCCGTGGATTGACCTCACCAAGCAACATCTGCAGTAACCTACTTGACCACCACTTTTCATCATAAGATAGCCATCCAAATAATTCTTAACTTGCAGTCTGAAGCTATAAAATGAATCACACAATATTTACATGCCCTGTGGTCCTTTTGGCCCAGGCATTATGGCATACCAGGGTTTAATGATCTTAATAACCCCATATGGCTTGCTGAGAAATTAGATTTTCTCTTTGGTTGCAGAAGGCAATTTTCAATTATAGCAGATGGCAAAACAGTGAAGGTCTGAGAAGTCAAGAACTGACTAAGAAACCTCAGATTAGTACTTAGGCCTTATGTTGCTCAGCCTCATAATGTCAGTGGTTGAATTTTTGCCCCAAATGAAAACAATCTTGAAGTAGAGCACAGCATTTCAGCGGAGCAGTCCCCCAATTACGCCTGCTCTTCAGAGGGCCAGGCCCAACAGAGAAATCCATAAAGCTGCCGTCACATGTGGAAAAACAACCCACGGTGCACCACATACACAGCTCAGCAACTGTTAAGATTCAATTTGGTTTGAAATTGGAGAGAGCAATGCTGAACTCCATGACATTTAAAGATAGAGGATCCTTCAAAACACAATATACACGACATATACAACTTTCTCAATGAGATTCTATATCCCTTTACAGTTTCTTTATTTCACTTTTTTCCTCCAAGCAACCTAAAATAAATCTGCATTGACATCATGTGACTTGCAGTTTGCACGAGGGAAAACAACACAGAACCTTTCTATTAGAAATATGTTTTTTTTCTGCTGCACTTACTTACACTTTCTCAGCTGCTAAGATCCTCATGGCACACAAGATTTGAACAATGGCAGACACATGGCTTGATCCAGCTGCGTAAACATAGACTCCTCTTCGCAGAGATCCAGTACATGGATCAAGTACCAGAAAAATGGGGAAGAGGTTAACGTCACCTACCCAGCAGCAAGGGACAAAAAGCATTTTGTTTCCCTTCTGTGTACTTTTGATCACTCCCTACCTAGCTGTAGTATGTCTGCTAGTGCCATAGGACTCCTCTGGAAATAAGCTCCTCAGTAGGGGAATGAGGCTGCCCACCCCGGGTGAAAAGTCACACCTCTTCCCAATGGGATTGCCATCATGCCATAGGAAGCCCACGGCTGGTGGTGATGGGAGGTGCATTGGGAAGTGTCATCTGGAAGGATGTTTGCCACCTGCCTCCTCCCAAAGCATCCCTGCACTTTGCTCCCTGCCCTCCTTCCCTCAACCTGGAAATCATGGATGTAAGTACTGAGGGGAAGAGGAATCAGACATTGTGACGTGTTTCTTTAATATTATCTCCAAGTAATTAATGGCTGAAAAATGTTCATGGTAATGAGGACTGCTGTATGGAGCTAGTCAAAATCTTTGAGGGTTAGCAAAGATTTTCCTGCATCCTTGCAGACTCTGCTCCGCAGCATGACCCACTGCCAATTCTCTCCCTCCCTCCCAGAAAGGCAACTCACAGAGAATGTAATAAATCTGTAAAGCTTTTTCTGCTATGCCTTTTTATGTGTTCGGTGGAAGGCAGGGCTTTCTAATGCCTCTTGCACAATTCATAGGGAGACACATGAAGTAGAAAATAGCACTTCTACTAAGTAGTACATGATTGCTTTAGTGATGACTTAACAGAGGGAATCTCTTATGGAAGCACAGTGGGGAAAAAACGCTAAAACAGCTCCAACCTCACAGATTTAATTCCAAATCCTCTGATTGTTCCCAGTGACTTTTCAAACACTTACAAAAGTTTTAAAATAATTGTTAATGATCAAGCTTTATGAAATATCTGTCAGAAAAAAAAGGCATCTCAAAACTTGATCAGTGCATTATAGACAGGTTAAGTCAGGACTCTTCAATCCAGATTATTTCAGAATTTTCAGACTAAAAATTTAATATCCAGCTCCTTTTCATTCCCTAGCTTCCTTATTTTGCACCTTTAAAATAGGACTATATTAAAGTTGAAGAATGGAATTCTAGTGAAATATTAAATAATCAAAAATAAATAATGCAATGATGCTATGATACAGTGCAGTCAGTGGGCATTAAAATGGAGACAGAATAGAAGAAGAGCTCAAGAAGAGCACAGATTTTTAGGTAGAAGTAGAAAAACGAGAAACATAATGGCTGATGTTGCTAATCTGTGGGAAGTCTATAGTGTAATGTATACTTTGCTCTAAACTACTCTCCTAATCTCTTTACCTCCTCAGAAAAAGGAAGAAAAAGAAAGAGAAGAATTAGCAGCGCCTAATTACTTCAGCAATTGTGTTAGGCATATTGCAACATACATAATAGATGAGATATTATTAATACAAACTTATTCCATTGAGATGCTCTGGATAATAGAAACCAGAGTACTCTTAAAAAATAATTCCTTCTC